CCGCGTTGTATTTTATTTTCATTGCCAGCTTTTTTATCGTATTCTGAGTATTGGGCACTTCGATCATTTTTTTCCCCAGTTCCACACTGAATTGTTTTGCACGATCGATGGCTTTAATCAGGGCCTCTATTTCCAGTCGGTCGATTTCTTGTAGCTTCGTTTCTTTCTCTTCTACCCTGTATTTTTTCGTCGTTTCTTCCGGTGTACGATCTTGCCTTAGTCTTTTCCCTTGTTGACCTTTAAATTGATTCCCTTCCTCTTCCTCACTTGAGTCGATTATTATCCTTTCCCTCGTATCTGTTAATTTATATATTTCTGACTGAAAGGGTTCCTCATCACACAGTCCCTCTGCCGTAAGGGGCGTCGATGCTCTACTATCGCTACTTATCTCCCTATCCACCTTTAGTGACTTGGGCCTACCCTTCGGTGTCCCAAATACCTCCGTGTCGCTATCTTGCTCCTCCGCTGATCTTACCTTCCTTATATCTCCTTCGCTATTCGATCTATGTGCTGGAGATCTCTGAACATTCTTCCTTTTACTTGTCCACAACTTCATTATCGTTTCTTCATCTGAATTAGAATTTTTTGGTTTGTTTTGTTTATTATCTTCCATTTAAGTCCCACGAGTAGCTAGGGAATTACTTCGTCCATCTCCGCAGAGCCCCGCGTGCGGAGATAAGGCTACGTACTCCGGGAGGTCGCCCGGTATCCCGGAGGCTCCGTTCGAGACCAACTATACGCATGGCCATTCACCCTTCGGCACGGGTCGCGTGACACCTTGGGTTGCGGGTTATTTTTCTTTCAGGGTTTTCCTTCCCCTAGGCCTATGTACTCCGGGATTTCGGCCGGTATCCCGGAGGGTTTTTTTTTCAGGGTTTTCCTTCCCTTAGCCAATAGGTTCCCGTTATGGCGCCGGAAACTCGCCTTTCACCCTTCTCCGTTGGCTACGTGACGCGCATCGTAAGATGCGGAACACGCATTACCAGGGTCCACCACGAGGAGGTGGAGATAGGATTTGCCGGTATGTCTTTTCAAGGCTATCTCGACAGCCCCTCACGGGGCCGCAACCGCAGACCCTCAAGGGACTGCAACCGCGGGCCCCCGCGGGACTGTCTCGACAGTCCTTTTCAGGACTATCTCAACAGTCCTTCTCAGGACTATCTCAACAGCCTTTTCGAGACACTGGGCCGCAATAGGGCGCCTTTGGGCGTTACTCGAGTTTTAATGCGTCCCGGACATTGGCAATCCGAAACACCTCGAGACCCGGGTACCAGCCATTTGGACCCCACCCTACCCTACCCTACCCTACCCTACCCTACCCTACCCTACCCTACCCTACCCTTTTTTTTTTTTTTTTTTTTTTTTTTTTTTTTTTTTTTTTTTTTTTTTGCCGGGTGGAAATGCTTTATGCACACCGGGTACAGGTTCTTCCCTTCCCCGGTAGTGTGAGGACTCCAAGGCGGGGTGTGCAAGCCTTGTTTACCCACTAAAACCACCTCGATTTTACCCCTCTCCCTGATATTGGCATTCCCCATTGCTTGGGTATCCATCAATATCAGGGCGGTCTCTTACTACGTCCTTATTCTTTTCGTCCTATCTTCTTCTTCCTTTTCTTTCATTACGCTAATTACAAATTCGTGTATTTCTTTCCAGTTTTTTTCGCTGCTTATCATTTTTTCGGTTAGGTTTTCTGCGGTTGTTTCTCCTATTATTTTCATGAGTTCTAGTCGTTTGTTTCTCCATCTAACACAGACAAAGAAAGTGTGCTCTGGCGTGTCTTGGATTCCACAGTATATACATTCGTCCGTAGTAGTTTTGCCTATTTTTTTTGTGTATGTCCCAAATGTCCCATGACCAGAGAGTATCTGAGTGAGAAAGTACTCTACTCTGCGATGTTTACATTTGACCCAGGGTCGTATGTCCTTGATTAATCTCCTGGTCCAGTTTTCTTCTTCGCTTTCCTCGTACCATTGTTGTTGCCATAGGTTTAGGGTTGTCTCCTTTTCTTCGCTTCGAATTTCTGCTGCTGCTCCATTCCTTCGGAATACTCTGTCTCTTTCCTCGACCAGGAGATTAATCGGAGGTATTCCGCAAATCACTTGCACTTTTACCGCAGAAATAGTCCTATACGCTGACGCAACTCTAATCAAGGCCAGTCTTTGACACATCAGTAGCATTCCATTATATTTCTTTATATTTATCGCGTTTTTCCAGATAGGAGCTCCGTATAGAAGTGTGGATTCCACGACTCCGTATAATGCCCTCCTTTTTAGGCTTCCCGGCCCGCCCACGTTTGGCATTACTGTTGATAATGTTCTTACTCTCTTCGTCGCTTTTTCTACTACATGCCGTATGTGTGGTCCGAAATTACCGTTGTCATCAAGTACGATACCCAGATATTTCAGTGTCCTTGACCTAGGAATCCTTTTCCCCATTACCTCTACCACAACTGCATCCCTATCCTTTCGTTTTCCCCTTAATAATACGTACTCTGTTTTTTCTGGTGCAAGTGTTAAGCTATGGTCCTCCAGCCATTTCTCTATCTGTGCGACTGCCATCTTTATCGTTATATTTAGTTCATCAATGTCCATTGCTTCGCAAACGATTGATAGATCGTCAGCGAATGCTATCGTAGTGGCCCCTTTCGGTTGTTTTGCGCGCAAAATACCGTCGTACAAGATGTTCCATAATAGTGGCCCTAATACGGATCCTTGCGGTACTCCAGCGGTGATTTTTTTTTCTTTATTACCAATAATTATTTTTCGATTGTTTAGGTACTCGTCTATTATGTTTTTTAGATATGTTGGAACACCTTTTTCCACTAGTCCATTAATGATTTCTTCCCAGGAGGCTGTGTTAAAAGCATTTCTTATGTCCAGCGTAATCATAGTTATCCATTCTTTTTCTGACTCCCTGACGATATCCATAACGTACTCTACGGCGTGAAGTGTTGAACGTCCCCTCCTAAATCCGAATTGTCTATCCGATATGCTATTACTTGCTTCCATTTTTTGCTCAAGTCTTTGTTTTATAATTTTTTCGTATAGTTTGCCTATCGTGCTAATCAAACATATCGGTCTATATGCTGCCGCTGCTTGTTTTTCTTGTTTGCCTTTCCAGGCCAAGACAACTCTTGCTTTCTTCCACACTTCAGGAAAGCTCTGATCTTGGATTAGTCTATTTAGGATCTCTATGGTGACGTTTGGAATCGTATTTACTATTATTTTTACAGCCTCCGGGGGTACGTTGTCTGGCCCTGCAGCTCTTTTTGTCTTAATTGTACTCGCTGCCTCCTGTAATTCCTTGAGTGTTATCGCGTCAATTTCTTCCGTGTTTAGCTCCCGGTACAAGTTTTTTCTTCGGCCTTTAGGAAATAATTCGTCGCACCAGGCTATCTTTTGCTTCATAGTCGGGAAATAAGGCGGGATTGGTCTTCCTATATACCTCGTAGCTACTTTATATCCCTCGCCCCACACTTCGTTTTCAAGATCTGAGCATAGTCTTTTCCAATGATTTCTTTTCGTTTGTCTTATCAGTGTTTTAAGTTTTTTTTTCATGTTTCTGTACTTTTCGTTCGCTTCTAAGTATCTTTGATGATTTAATCCGTGTTTTTTCTTTATCCGACTCATCCTTCTTCGAGCTTTGATTGTTCCCTCTCTAAGCCTATCTAATTCCCCATTCCACCAGTACGGCAGTTTCTTTGTCATTGGGACCTTTTTTGTACATTTACGTACTGCCTCTGATATCCTTTCACAAAAGTCCGATGTACCGGAGAATTTCGCGTTTTCCATTTGCGTGACTTTTTTTGTAAAGAGTACCTCGTTAAATATGACATTGTACCTATTTGTCTTCCCTGCACTGTTTCCCCCATGCCTGCTCTCCACTCTAAAATCTATATGTTTGTGTAGCGTAAATACCTCTTCTTGTAGTGTTGTCCATCCGTGTATTCGTTTCGCTATCTTTGAGGTGGATATAGTAACATCTAGATGCGATTTGCAGTTCGCCCTTTCAAATGTATGGTCCCCATTGTTCAGACAGTACAGATTTAATTCTGCCATCCACTCTTCAATATACTTTCCTCTTTCATCGGAATAGGGAGATCCCCAGTACTGGGACTTCGAATTTATATCTCCTGCGATAATAGCTTCAGTTTTGCTTCTCTTGATGTCATACATTATTCCATCGATATAAGATTTGAAGGTAGATAAGTCAAAACTTGGTGGCATATAGCAGCAGTAGAGATTATAGTCTTCCATAGTTAGCTTGACGTACGAATCTTCCGACTCGTGTGACTTAATGCTTATATTTTTGTTAATAATTTGTACCGCGGCTAAATTTAGTTTGTCCAGTAACATTTTCGACTTTTTGGCGATATTTATATTCGGCTCCGAGATAAGTACAATGTCATATTTTCCGTCGTTCCCTATTAGTGTGGCCATATCATGTGCCAGCCTCCCTCTACCCAAATTTGTTTGCAGGTATCTAGTCATAGTGTGTTATTTGTTTTTCATTTTTCCTTTTGTGTCCGTTATATTCTGTATTTGCCATATTTACCCTTCCCTCCTCTTTTTTATTATAATTTCTATCCTTCATCATTGTTGTACAGATGGCGTTCGGCTTTTTACAAACACCTCGTCTTCCGTATAGTCAGTCCTTGTTGATCTTAATCTGTTCCTAAAGATTGATCTCCTCTCCTGAATCATTTCCCGATAAATAGGGCAGGCCATATTGTCTGCCCTATGTCCCTTTTCTTTACAAGTTATACAATATGCGTCGTTGGTACATTCTTTTGCTTTGTGTCCCTTTTCAGCACATTTCATGCAGCATTCTGTTCTGTCCTCTCCTTTACACTCCTCCGTCCTATGTTTGAATTCAAGGCACTTAAAGCAACGCGGTATAAATATTCGTCTCCAGACTGGGCAGTCGGTCCAGCCTATTTTTACTTTCCCTTGATCTAATAGAACGTTCGCTGCTTTCCTTTGAGCTATTACAGTCGCTACCTGATTTCCACTTCTTTTTATTTCCCTTAATGCTTGCACTTTAATTTCTTCCTTCCTAATTCCTGTATTCCTTGCTATTTCTGATTCTACTTGTTCACATCTCAGTCCTGCTTCTACTTCTGTTATTTCTAATGTAACTCCCGCAGTTTTGAAAATTACATCTTTATTATCCGTTCTTTCCACTATTTCTTTTTTCAATTTATTTGTTTCTGCTTTCCCAACGACCTCCAAAAAAAGATCTCCCTTTACTGTCCTTTTCATCCCCTTAATAGTTATTCCCGACTGCTCTATATTTATGTTCTTTTTCATATCTTTAACTAGTTCCGCGTAGCTTCTGCCGTTGGCTTTAACTATAAGTTTTCCTGTTTCTTGTTTTTGTTCGATTTCTGGTTCCCCTCCTAATATATATATTTTACACTTGGTGTTATGAAATACCTTTTCCATACATTTCCTAATTATTGTGCTGTCTTTTATCGTCGTGGACGTTACTACAACCTCAGTATCCTTATCCGTTTCGATCCTTTCCTTCAACTTCTGTGCTATGTTATATATGTCTTCGGTTTTAAAGAAATCTTTCTCCGCTCTTATGGGTAACGTGTATATCACTCTCTTACATTTCTCTTCGTTTTTATTTCTGCTACTTACTATTTCGGTGAATATTGTTATGCTCTCCACTGTCCCCTCTTCCATTTCATCCTCTGTCAGTACTTTCATTTCCGGTATCTTTTCTTCAAGTACGTTAAATTCTAGGCCCCTGTTATCTTTCCTCGGATCCATTATTATCGCTATATCCTTTTTCCTTTTGCTAATTTCTATATTTTCGGTTGTGAATTCTGTGGCTTTGTATAGGTCCTCTGGCCATCTTTCTTCTAAAACCTTTTCAAACTCCTTAAAAGTATTCTCCTGTTCGATTTTATTTTTTATGTTTTCAATTCTCCTTTTTCTTTCTTCTTCAATCTCGTTTTTTATAGTTTCTTCATCTGTTTGTGTGCCTATAGACACTTTTTGTACGTTCTCTGTCAGTCTTTTTTGTTTATGTTTCTCTGGGCTAAATTGGAAGTTTTCTACTATTAGATTTAAGTTTTCCGTTCTGCTTCTTATCGCTCTTATTTCCTTCCTTATATCCGTTCTTATATTGCCCGTTTTCTGCGCTAGCTCTTCTAGTGCTATCATTCTGCTTTTTATTGTCTGCACCATATTTTTAATGGATGCCGCCATTGATTCTTCCTTGTCTCTTTTCCTTTTTTCGGATTTTTCAGGTGTTTCTATGATGTTCGCTGTATTTCTCATACTCTCTATTTCCATTTCTAGAATGCCTCGTTTCGGTCCCCTGGTGGGGGATCTGCCTATAGAATCCCTTCTTTTGAAGATCTCCCTCTCGTTTGCGGCTTCCGCCGTTTCTAAAATTTTGATTGCAGTAGGTGTCAAGTTGCCCTCCCCAGAATCCATAGGGCAGACCGCCTCGGAGGCGGTGCGGGATTCGGGAACTGGTGTTCCTCTACCCGCCTGGGGTACAATTTCCTTCTTACCACTTGACATCATTAGCGATTTACTTTTTGGTTTTTCTGTCGGGGTTTTCCTTCCCTTAGCCAATAGGTTCCCGTTATGGCGCCGGAGACTCGCCTTTCACCCTTCTCCGTTGGCTACGTGGCGTGTTTCCACGCCACGCATTTCCAGGGTCCACCACGAGGAGGTGGAGAAGGATTTGCCGGTATGTCTTTTCAAGGCTATCTCAACAGTCCTTTTCAGGACTATCTCAACAGTCCTTTTTAGGACTATCTCAACAGTCCTTCTAAGGACTATCTCAACAGCCTTTTCAAGACTATGGGCCGCATGAGCTCCATGTGGGCATTACTCAGAGTTTTAAAGTCATGTTAAATGCGTCCCGGACATTGGCAATCCGAAACACCTCTGAGACCCAGGTACCAGCCATTCGGACCCCACCCTACCCTACCCTACCCTACCCTACCCTACCCTACCCTACCCTACCCTACCCTACCCTACCCTACCCTACCCTACCCTACCCTACCCTACCCTACCCTACCCTACCCTACCCTACCCTACCCTACCCTACCCTACCCTACCCTACCCTACCCTTTTTTTTTTTTTTTTTTGGTGAGGAGTAAAAAATGCATTTACGCACACCCCTGCTGTTGGTCGGCAGGGGTAGTGTGGGACTCTAAGTCGCATAATACCCACTAAAAACATCTCCTCTCTTCCTTCGCACACTCCAGTTACTTTATCGAGCCGACGGTATAATCATTACGACATCCATCGCCGACCCATAAAGTTTATCTTCGGTTTCCTTGTCTTCTATACGCTTGTTCTTCTCTTTCCTCTTCTTCCTTCTTCTTCATAACTTCGTTTAGAAATTTAAAGACATCCTCAAAATTTTGCCTCTTCTCAATCATTATATTAATTATATTATCGGCATTTAGGGATCTGTCCAAACCTGCTTCCACTTCCCTTCTTTGTGTTTCCCATCTTGGGCACTCGAACACGGTGTGTTCCGGCGTATCTGTAGCTCTGCAGTAGCTGCAAGTTTCATCGTCTCGTTTTCCTATTCTTTTCGTATATGTATTGAAGGACCCATGTCCACTGAGGAACTGTGTTACATAATAGTTTACACGTTTGTGTTTACAGTTGTACCACTCTGCTACGTTCTTTATAAGTCTTTTGGTCCACTGACTAGTTACTTCATGATTCTCCCACCTTTCCTGCCATTTCCTCAGTGTATCTTGTCTACGTTCCTCTTTGTTGTAACTACCTGTCTCCATCCTTTCTTCTATTAGCAGGTCTATTGGTACTATGCCCGCAATGACGCATGCTCCCTCTGTTGCAACCGTCCTGTACCCCTCTATCACTCTAAGCATTAGCTTTCTGTGAGTACTTAGTACCATTTCCCGGTATCTTCGGTATGTCACCATGGCTCCCCAGACCTCAGCTCCATACGTCGATATTGATTGCGCCACATTGTAATAGAGTACCCTCTTATAACTGCTTGGACCTCTCGTGTTTGGTAGAATCCTTGATAGTGCCGTTGTTAATGTTGTCACTTTTTCCCTCGTTTTTTTTAGGTGATTCCTAAATGATCCTCCCTTATCGATCCATATGCCCAGATACCTGAGATAGTCGACCGTTTCTATCCTTTGCCCTTCTAGCATAAAATTAACTCCATCTTTGTTTCTCCCTCCCTTTATAACTATAGCTTCAGTTTTTTCTACTGCCAATTCGAGTTTATTTTCCTGGATCCACTTTGATATTTTGCCTAGTGCCTCGTTTCCTTTTAGGTTTAGTTCTCGCTTCTCCTTCGCCGATATTAGTATAGCTAGATCGTCCGCATATGCTATGCTGCAAGCTCCTTTCGGTAATTTTAGCTTAAGTACTGGGTCGAACAAGACATTCCATAGCAAAGGACCCAGAACGGATCCCTGTGGAACACCTTTCGTGATCTTCAAATGTTTTCGATCTACGGTGACTTTCCTGCCTTGGAAATAGCTGCTTACCAACGCTATTAGGTACTCCGATATTCCGATGTTTTCTAGTCGCTCGATTATGATTTTCCACGATGCTGTGTTGAAGGCATTTTTTATGTCTAACGTGATCAATGCAGCCCATTTATCCCCGTTTTCATTTTTCCTTCGCATAACTTCCATGACCGCGCATGTTGCCGATTTCCCTTTTCTGAAGCCATATTGTAAATCCGATATTCCCTTTTTCTGGTCTAGCTCTTCTTCCAATCTATTTTTTATTATCCCTTCATATACTTTTGCAATCACATTTATTAAACATATGGGTCGGTACTTCTGTTCGTTGGGAACACTCGCCACTCCTTTCGGTATCAACACCACTTTAGATTTTTTGAATTCTGCTGGAAATATTTTTTGTCTTATGTAGTTGTTCATTTGTTTTAGAATTGTATTCGCTTTGCATTTTATGACCGCTTTGATGGTTTCTGGGTATAGGCCGTCTATACCTGGGGCCCTGTTCTCTTTTACCTTGCAGGTTGCCTCTTCTAGTTCATCCATCGTTATTCTAGGAGCTTTTTTGTTCGTTTTGAAGATTTTTAGGTCTTCGCTATCTGCTGGGAATAGTGTCTTAGTTATCGATACTTTCTCCTCCGAAACCATTTCGTATGGCAAGCTTTGCTTTTTCAGCCTTCTTATCGCGATCTTATATCCCTCCCCCCAAATGTCATTGTCAAGTTCTTCGCATAATTGTTTCCAGTTGTAATTCTTTGATTTTCTTATGAGGTATTTGTAGTTTCTTCGGGCTTCTTTGTATGTTCTTTCGATTTCTATTTTATTTTGATTTTTGTTCTTTCTTTGTAGTTGTCGTCTGTGTTTGTTACACTCTTCCCTCGCGCACTCTATGTCACTATTCCACCAATACGGTTGTTGGGATCTATTTCTAGCTGCTCCGAACAGACTCGCTTCTTGCAGGTTCCTTAGCTCCTTCATAAGTTTGTGATATTTTATGGTTTTATTTTCCGTTAGTAGTTCCTCCAATTTAGCTTTGTTGATCTTGCTTTTTATGTGTTCATCTCTGTGTGGATCTTTTTTCTCTCCTTTTATTTCGAAGTATATATATCTATGTAAACTCATAGACTCCTCCAGTGAGACCTCCCAGTTTTCTACTCGTCTAGCAAGCCTGCTCGTTGTCATGGTGACATCGATATAGGATTCCGTTTCCCCCCTCACAAAGGTGGGGATTCCTCCTTTGTTGTGCACGGTTAGGTCCAGTGATTCGATATGCTCTTCCCAGAAGGTTCCTCGTTGATCATTTTTTGGCGATCCCCACTTCTCCGATTTTGCATTTAGGTCTCCAAGCAGGAGTACTTCCTTTGTTCTATCGATGTGATCGCAGATCTCGTTTACTTTTTCTTTGTACGTGCTAAATGGAATGTTTGGGGATATATAGCATGCGATTATCGAGATGTCTTCTAATTCGACCTTTATAAAACTAGTCCCGCTGATAACGTTCTTAACTTTTTTCTGTCTTCTGCTTCGTATTTTCATGCCGATGTCCTTGTTTTGATCTGAGATCCAACCACTTTTTGAGACGATTTTTTTATTAGGTTCACTTATAATAAGTATATCAATTCCTTCTTCGCAGCATTTTGCTTCTGTAGTGTCGTGACACGCGTAAGCTCTCCCAGCGTTTACTTGCAGCACCTTTGTCAAGGTCATTTCGAAAATATGTATCTCTACAACTATACAACCGAAACCGACATTCACTGACTCATTGGCGTGTTTTTTTTTTTACGGCTTTATTTGCGGGCGAAAAAATCGGAAAAAAATTCTATCCTACGTAACTCGACGAGATCTATCGAAATATCGACTTTTCGAAACCCGGAAAAGTTTCCTTCCGGGTGAAAAACCGGATTTTTTTGTTAAAATTACGACTTTTTTGCCATTTTCGACCTATATCTCCGAAACTACATTACAGATTTTTTTCAAACTTTCACCGTATATTCTTTGATTTTTTTGCCATTTTTCCACGTAAATCGCGTTTCTTCAAAAATATATGTCACCAAGTTATAGGGAAATGAAAATTTGCCGAAATTAAAATTTTTTTTAAATACACTCCGTTTACTCGGAAACTATCGGGTTTTCGAAAAAAATGTATTCTTTCAAAATTATTAATTCAAGTTTCGTGCAACTAACAAAACAAACCCGATAACGATATCTTAACCCGTTTCGGAGTTATAGCAAAAAAACTTTGTCGATGCACCGGAGTACGGTAGAAAGGAATTCCCGGTCGGCCGCGGAAGGAGCGGGGATCGTGGTCGCTTTTCCATCGCTCGGGTAAGTTGCCGATGGATTTCGTCGGTTCGGGCCAGCGGCGGGTGTTTCGCCATGGGCGGCGTTATTTTTTTTTTTTTTTTGAAAAAAAAAAAAAAAATTTTAAAGGGGGCGGAGCCCCCTTTACGAGCGACAGCGAGTCTAATACCTATACAGCTGAAACCGACACTCATTCATTCATTCACTGACTGATTGGCGTGTTTTTTTTTTTACGGCTTTATTCGCGGAGTAAAAAAACGGAAAAAAATCCTATCCTACGTAAATCGACGAGATCTATCGGAAAATCGACATTTCGAAACCCGGAAAAGTTTCCTTCCGGGTAAAAAACCGGATTTTTCACCTTTTTTTTGGTGTTTTTCGGAATTTTTCGGAATTTCTCGAAAACTACTCCCACGATTTTTTTTAAACTTTCCTAAAATATTCTTCATTTAATTACTAATTACCTCCCGCAAACCGCATTTCTAAAAAGAGCTTAGTTTCCAAGTTATAGGGAAATGAAAA